GGTGGAGTGTGCCCGACAGGGCATCACTAAAATGAGCATAACTTTTTACTTGGAGTTCGGAAGTTAGCAAACTCGATGGCATTGGAAAGATAATTCAATTATCTATCATATCATAGGTCATGGGACACACAATTATTTTTGTGCTATAAGTTATGACCGTCTGAAGTTGATCCATCAACAATTTTCAGCTAATTAGTTGTTAATCCTCACCTACGGTCAGACCTACGGACTGTGGATTGATTGACGGTCCGTGCTGGTTAGCCGTCAATCGGGACTGAAGCTGGGCTTTGGGACATCGATCCACGAACACGAGCTACGGTCCGTGACCTGACCTACGGACAGTTAGTCTGGTCGTGGGTCAAATACTTAGCCAAATTTTCTGACTGAGTTCTGGGAAAGTTTTCTGTCACGAACCACGGACCTGCAGGATGGACCGTGAGTCCAGCCACGGTCCGTGGATGGTGTCCATGAATGCCACCTGTAACACCAGAAATATGAAATCTCTATTTTCAGATACGGGGTTGTTACACAACCCCCAAGGTTTCAACTCGGATAATTGGCACCAAGGTCAAGGAAACCAAAGTTGGAACTATGGAAACTACAATCGAGAGTGAAACTATGTCCGAGATGGGAACTACAATTATGATAACAACTACAATCGAAAAAGTTATTGCAACAGAAATGAGAGAGTTGGGCCCTATGTTCCACCTGGGAATACGGAATCTGGAAATAGAGAAGCTGGAGGTAGTATGTCACGCCTTGAGGATATGATGCAAAATATGATGAAATGGTTTTATGCAACTGATGAGAATGTGAAAGAGATGCGAAATGACTTGTCTGGAATTGTTGAAAAAGTTTATGCATATGCAGTGTCTATCAATTAACTTGAGAAGCAGTTTAGTCAATTGTACACTACTGCAAACCCACGTCCTCCTGGCACATTTTCTAGCAACACCATCCATAATCTAAAAAATGATGGGCATTGTATGGGAGTCACTTCTCGAGGAGGTAAACAGACCATTGATCCCCCTATGCTGTCTGAGGTTGAAATTATGGTAAAAAAAGATGACGATGAGATTGAGGTTACTGGAGAGTCTAAAATTGCTACAGAGAAGGAAGAGGAGGTAACTCAAAAAATTGTTCTCATGCCTATAACTCCACCTCCATTCCTACAGTGATTGGTGAAGAAGACCGATGAAGAAAAATACTGTAGTTTCATAACTATGTTGAAACAACTCTCCATCAATGTGCCGTTGATTGAAGATTTAGAGAAAATGCCTCGGTATGCGAAATTTATGAAAGATTTGGTGACCAAGAACAGAGCTGTCAGTTTTAAGAATGATGAGATGTTGCAACATTGTAGTACTATTTGATGAGTCCACAAATTGGACTCATTTAGGGCTTTATTTTAATAGAAATAGTGTCCCCGATTACTTGTTTTATCTCAATACCTGATTAAAATGCCTAAGTTTCAGGTATTTGAAGTTTTACTGGAAACATGGACACTTAGGCGCTAAACTGAGCAAAAAGGGCTGAAAAGAACAAGAAATGAAAGTATGTGGATCGCCGAGTCCAACTTGGCGAGTCACCGAATTGACATGCACCTCCCTTTGTTCTAGTACGCGAAGCCTTGAAGAAAGTGGATTAAAAGGCAAGGAAAGGAGCAGTCGCCGAGTCACATCAAAGGAGCATGCGTTCTAATGAGGGAATCAAGATGCTCAACCAGAGTAGATAGGCGAACAGTAGGAAACTAAGATTGTACACTATTTACGACACTACCAAGTGTATACACCATGATAACCTCCAATGAATATGGATTCAAAGCATTTTTAAACTATAATTTATTTTATCCTGGGAGTTTTGTTTTGATATAAACATTTTCTAAATGATTTCCGATTACTTCTGTGAAGCAATACTATACCGCCCAATGATCCAGACTATGAGGATGCTGAAGGCAAGACACTGAAGGCGATGAGCTGATTAAAGGGCGGATCAACGAGTTCATCGGCGATCTCGACTAATGTCGCCTAACGATCCTCCACAACAAAATCTGTGAAAATTATAAATACTAGTTAGAGTTGTAGTCTTGGGGAGGATCAATTTTAGAGCAAATATTATTATTAGTCTATAGTATTTTTCTCTCAAGTTTGTGGAGGGTTTTGTGAAGACTTGAAGAAAGGAGTTCATCTTCCCCAAGTTGGAAGTGGGTCATCTTTATTCTTCTTCCGTAGCTTAATTCAAGGTTTAATTTATTATACCCAGTTGATTTCTTTATCATGTTATGTATAATTTCTTATTTCTTGATGTGTGGCTAAAAACCCCCATTCTTGGGGTGTGATTTAGCAAATATGGATTGATATTCCTGTTGGGTCTTGGTTGCTGATAGGTTAGATGTATGTTAATGGTGATTTCACCTAGTGGTTGTGGTTTAATCTAAAGGGTTTGTAGTTACAAATACAGAGCCACCTATGTGTTTTCGGCTTGCCCGAGAGGGAGGTCGCAAAACCAAAACCAATAGATCGATGTCCTAAGGAGTGGGTCGACATGAGGTTCATCCCGAGAGAGTGAGCCCTAGTCCTATATCCTAACACTCAACTCGAAAGAGTGAGTGGGGTAAGGCATAGGCTGGTCTTCATGTGGCAAATGGGTGTCCGACAGGAACGTATTTGAAACGGGGTAAGTTGCTCGAGAGGGAACTTATTTCCATTTAAAGCTTAGCCTAGTCATTATTGTCTCGCAAATTTCCTATTGAAAGCATGTACCCAACGATTTATCTCAACTTGTTTTGCGGTCACATCCCAAGAACCTTTCCCCATACTTGATTTTCTTTTTTATTTTGTTGTTTTATCACTTGTTATTAAACCTCCATTTGATAGTTTACACTTTCGTGTCATCCCCTTTAATTTACTATGTTTTTGTTCGTTAATATATTTAGCTATCACCAGTTAGAATGTAATTTTATTTTTCTATCAATTCTCAAAACTGCTCCCTTGGGACACGACCCCAACCCTCGATTGGGTTACTATACTATCAACGATTGTAGACACTCATACCGTAGGTCAGTGTCGGTCACAATAAGCATCAAAATGGCACCGCTGCCGAGGAATGGGTTAGTTGAGAATTTTTAGTTCACTAGAGTTTTCGTCTTATTAATCGTAGATTATTAATTTTACTCTTAGTTTTGTTTTTCATTGACTTTTTGATTGTATGTAATCCCAAGGGTCATTGGCAAGAATTTCTGTTTTTCTTAGTTTTAGCTTTACTAACTTAATTTTTATCTTTGCTTTGGTTGTTTGTGTTGAAAACAGAAATTATGAGTGAGGACGTGGGGGACAGTTGCCACGCAAACAATCCATTGAATATTGACTTGCACCGAGATGACATTGACGATGTTAATAGTGTTTATGACCCCTCTATATTGGGTGAGATAGGTGCATTTCGCTTGTCGCAGGGTGGCAGAAATGGAAATTTTGAAGTCACTAGCACAACACTCCATCTCATACATTCAAGGGGCCTATACAGAGGATTGGATCATGAAGACTCACAAAAACATATCCAAAGCTTCTTGGACGTATGTGCTCCATTGTCATTCAAAAATTGGTCGCAAGAAGCTATCAGGCTTCACTTATTCCCATTGTCACTGACAGGAGAAGCCACTACGTGGTTGTCTGAGCTTCCCAAAAGTTTTATCACATCATGGAAAGAATTAGTCACAGCTTTCCACAATAGATTCTTTCCCCCGTCAAAAATGATGAAGTTGAGGGATGACATTCAGAATTTCAAACAAAAAGCGAGTGAATCAATTCATGAGTCGTGGATTAGATATAAAAGGTCTCTGCGAAAATGCCCAACACATGGGCTGCCAAGTAAGTTGCTACTCCAATATTTTTACCGAAGTCTTGATTCAGTCAACAAAGGGATAGCTGATCAATTGGTTCAAGGCGGCATAATTCCACAACCCTTTGAGGTGGCCTCATTTCTCCTAGATGGTATGGCTAGAGTAAATCAAGCTCGGTACACCAAAGAAGATCAAGTTTCCCCTCTGTGTTTCAGGCTGACGCAAGAACAACTTGATAAAGAAAAAGAGAGGGATGAAAACATTAAAAGTTTTTTAGATGGAAGATTTACAAGAGCACATGAAAGGCAACTGTGAAGTTTTTTGCGCAGAAGGGGGTTGTTTTTCCGATAACTTGAAATCGGGAGGGAATCAAGGTTGAAACCACAAAAGGAATGAGGAGGGTTTCCACCCGCACTATCAGTCGCGGGTTGGAAATCAAGGTTGGAACCACCCTAGAGGTGAAGGACCTAGGCAATATTTCTAAGAGTGGACTGAGCATAACGATCATGAAGAATACCAAACTCAATTGATTGACAGCCCGACATCAAGGGGGAGTGACAGCAGCCCTAGGGTGAATGATCTACTGACACAAATTCTTGAGAAAGTTGAAGGCTCTAATGATTTTCTAAAAGGAATGAGAGATGTTTTTTCTTCGCTAAATAGTAAGGTGAACTCTCATGCTAATGCCATCAAGATGCTGGAAGGTCAATTGAATCTCCTATCGGCCCAACTAACAACCAAGATGCCAAAGGAAAATGAGGAAGGAGAGCTGGCTGTAGTTACCCGTAGTGGGAAGGTAGCGATAGGTAATGAAGGAGAAGAACGTGAGGAAAATCAGGGTAGGGAAGAAGCAAAAATTACCGATCATCAAAACCTAGGCAAGAAAGCACAAGAAGGAATGAATCAGCACAATGAAACTCCAAAAATAATACAACCATTACCCAAAATACCTCCACCTTTTCCCCAGCGTTTGAAAAAGAAGAATGAAGATGAGAAGTTTAAAAAATTCTTGTCTATGTTCAAGAAGTTGTCCATCAACCTTCCTTTGGTGGAAGCATTGCTGGAGATGCCAGGGTATGCTAAATTCATGAAAGAGCTAGCCACCAAGAAGAGGATCTTGGATTATGAAATGATTGAAATGCCTCATAGTTGAAGTGCGATCATGACAAATGAGTTAATTACTAAAAGAGAAGACCCTGGTGCTTTCACTATCCCGTGTACTATTGGAATGCTCCAATTTGCCAAGGCTTTATGTGACCTAGGAGCAAGCATCGACCTGATTCCATACGCCATATACAAGCAACTTGGATTGGGAGAACCAAAGGCAACTACAATGAGACTTCTCATGGCAAATCGATCGATCAAGCATATATTTGGAATCCTCTATGATATCTTGGTCAAAGTAGATCGGTTCATATTTCTATTTGACTTTGTGATTTTAGACTGTGACATTGATGTTGAGGTCCCCATTATTTTGGGAAGGCCATTCTTAGCAACCGGCAAAGCATTAGTGGATGTTGAAAGCGACAAGTTGAAATTCCGTGTGAATGACGATGAGGTAACTTTCAACATCTGCAAATCCATGAAACAACCAAGTGATATCTATGTAGTGTCTACTGAAGATGTTATAGATGAGGCAGTGGCAAGTGTGAGCCATCTGCTGCGCAAGAATTAGCCTCTTGAGTCAATACTTGCAAATCATGACAACTCGAAAATTCAAGAATATGATGAAATGATCGCAGCCCTAATAGGGTTAGGAGCATATGCACGAAATCCGATTAAGTTGGATACCGACCTAAAAAACCAATGCAGCCCACCTGCAAAGCCATCAATGGAAGAGCTGCCAACTCTAGAACTGAAAGTACTCCCATCCCATCTCAAGTATGTTTTCTTGGGAACTAACAACACTCTACCAGTGATTATTGCATCAAATCTGAGTGAAGGGCAGGTAAAAGTGCTTGTTGAATTACTACAAAAGCACATAAAAGCAATCAGATGGACCATAGTTGATATCGTGGGCATCCCGCCCAGTATCTGCACCCATAAGATTCGGCTGGACAGTGAATGAAAACCCAGTGTAGAGCATCAGTGAAGGTTGAACCCCCTGATGCAAGAGGTAGTAAAAAAGGAGATCATCTAGTGGCTTGATGTAGGATATCTATCCAATTTCAGACAGCAAATAGGTCAGACCAGTGCGATGCGTACCAAAAAAGGGTGGCATAGCAGTGGTCCCAAATGCTAAAGGAGAGCTTGTGCTGACTAGACCTGTAACGGGATGGAGCGTGTGCATGGATTATCGAAAGCTAACTTCATGGACTGAAAAGGACCATTTTCAAATGCCCTTCATGGACCAGATGCTTGACAGGTTATCAGAGAGAGAGTGGCTTTGTTTTTTGGATGGACACTCCGGATACAACCAGATATCTATCGCACCAGAAGATCAAGAGAAAACCACTTTCACATGCCCTTATGGGACCTTTGCATTCAAAGGGATGCCATTCGGACTTTGTAATGCACCGACAACTTTTCAACAATGCATGTTGTCCATCTTTGCAGATATGGTTGAGGACTCTCTGGAAGTCTTTATGGATGATTTCTCAGTCGTGGGGGACACATTTGAAGAATGCTTGCCACATTTAGAGTGAGTGCTCCAAAGGTGTGTGGAAACGAATATAGTCCTAAATTGGGAGAAATGCCATTTCATTATGAAATAAGGCATTGTTCTTGGGCATAAAGTGTCGCAACAAGGGCTGCAAGTTGACAAAGCAAAAATTGAGGTTATTGAGAAACTACCACCACCGATCTCAATAAAGGGGATTCACAATTTCATGGGCCATACAGGTTTCTACCGGAGATTCATTAAGGATTTCTCAAAGAATGCACTATCACTATGCAAACTCTTAGAGAAGGAAGTGAAATTCTACTTTGATGAAGCTTGTATGGCAGCATTTAAATGTTTGAAGGATAAATTGATATCCACACCAATTATCATCAGCCCCAATTGGTCAGAACCATTCGAATTAATGTGCGATGCGAGTGGGATGGCATTAGGTGTAGTATTGGGACAAAAGTGTACCAAACTGTTTTACCCAATTTATTACGCAAGCAAGACTCTAAATAGTTCCCAGCGAAATTACACAGTCACTGAACAAGAGTTGATAGCCGTGGTCTATGCTTTCGAAAGGTTCTGGGCATACTTGCTAGGCACTAAAGTAGTTGTTCATACAGACCATGCAGCACTCCGATACCTCATGGAAAAAAAGGATGTGAAGCCAAGATTGATAAAAAGGGTGCTACTCTTGCAAGAATTCAATTTTGAGGTAAAAGATCGGAAAGGTTGTGAAAATCAAGTTGCAGATCACCTATCGCGGTTAAAGAGTAAAGCAGGTACTGAGCAGGAAAAGGAAATAAATGACTCATTCCCAGACAAGCAGATATTCGCACTGTCACTCACACACATGCCATGGTATGCTGACTTTGCAACCTACATCGTATGTGGGTTGATTCCCGATGAGTTAAACTCTTACCAACGAAAGAGGTTTCTATTTAATGTTAAAAGATATTTATCGGATGAGCCATACTTATTTCTAGAATGTGTTGATCATGTCATAAGAAGGTGTTTTTCGAAAGAAGAATCAACAGAGATCCTCCATGCCTGCCACACATCCCCAGTCGGAGGTCATCATAGTGGAAATCGTAACGGAGATAAGATTCTCCAAAGTGGTTATTATTGGCCTTCTCTTTACAACGATGCCCACGTTTTTGCAAAGAGATGTCCACAATGTCAGCAGCAAGACGGAGTGTCAAGAAGGAACGAATTACCCCTTACACCAATTTTGGAAATCGAACTATTCGATGTGTGGGGAATCAATTTCATGGGCCCATTTGTCATCTCATTTGGAAACAAGTATATCTTAGTAGCTGTGGACTTTGTGTCCAAATGGGTGGAGGCCGTCGCACTCCTAAATAATGAAGGAAGAAGTATTGTCCAATTTTTGAAACACTACATCTTTTCACAGTTTGGCACTCCAAGAGCAATCATTAGTGTTGGAGGGTCACATTTTTGCAATAAGTGTTTTTCTAGTGCATTGAGCAAATACGGAGTAAAACACAAAGTCGCAACTCCATATTATCCCTAAACGAGCAGACAAGTTGAGGTGTCAAATCGTGAGATCAAAAGCATTCTATCCAAGACAGTAAATGGCAGCAGATCCAACTAGTCTAGAAAGCTTGACGATGCCCTATGGGCATATCAGACTGCTTATAAGACACCTATAGGAATGTCCTCATATCAGCTAGTTATTGGTAAATCATGCCATTTACCTGTTGAGCTAGAACACAAAGCCTTATGGGCATTGAAAGCTCTGAATTTAGATTGGACAAAGGCTTCAAGGTAGAGGTTGGACCAGTTAAATGAAATAGATGAGTTCAGGCTCAGATCTTACGACAGCTCAGCCATTTACAAAGAGAAAATGAAGAAATGGCATGACACACAGATAGTCCAGAGGGAATTCAACATGGGAAATTGGGTGTTATTGTACAACTCACGACTAAGGCTATTCCCAGGAAAGTTAAAATCCAAATGCTCTTGGCCTTTCAGAGTGACACGAGTGTTCACCAATGGTATCATAGAAGTTGAAGGTAAATAAGGACCCTCATTTACAGTTAACAGACAGCGTTTGAAGTTATACCTTGGGGACTGCCAGGAAATCTCTTTAGTTGAAGAATTGTATCTAGAGGATGCTTGATAGTATTCCTACGTCGAGCCACAACGTTAAATAAGATGCTTATTGGGAGGCAACCCAAGTTCTTACCAATTATATATGCTTGATAAAATAATAATGTGTCAATTGGGCAGATAGAAGCGTGGATAGTGAATGAATAGTGCAAATAGGTGCACCACAAGTCCATTCAGGGACACGTAGGAGGAATCGGCAAGCTCAGGACATCTTTGGCAAACTGCGGACTGGTTTGGTGATCGCACTATTAACTACCGTTTGAATTCTCCCAGTCTGGGTTTGGAGTCTATAAAACTCGGCACACTTTAAAAAAATTAGCGGCGAATCGTCGACCCTGTAGGCGAGCACAATGCAAACCGTCGTTCGGACTCACCTGCAACCAGAGGTCCTGTAATCTTTCGCAAGGAAGCTAAATATTCGGTGTGTCACCGACTGAACAGGCCAGTATAATTAATGTCACTGAATAAGCGATAACTGGAAAGTTCTCCAAGCAAAGGTTTCAAAGTGTCTGATATACTGGTTGCCTCACTTTTTGATACGCCCTAACTCAAACTTGCACGCTAGTTTTATATTTCATGTCTTATTAGAGTATTCGCGTTGCTAAATTGTGCTCAGTTGTGGATTGCATGGCAGCCAAGCATCTTCACACAAGGTTGGTCTTTCAACACCCCGAGTTATTTTTGAGAAATCTAACCTCATTTGCAACTAGTTGATCTGAATATCTCGGGGTCAACTGGTTTACTTTATCGATTCCCATTCAACACTTATTATTCGCATTTGAGGACAACTGCTTTTATTTGTGGTGGGATGAGGCTCACACCTTTTGTGTTGACATTCATGTTTTGTTCTGTATATATTTGGGTTATTTGCTTTAATTTGTATTTTAAATACTACTTTTCTATGGATGTTTGAGCTCATGGCTCCTGTTGTTCTAATTGAAAATAATTTTGATCCTTCCGAAAAAATTTGGCCCCTCTTGTGTTGAAAGTGGCTGTTCTTTTGCAAAAAAAATTGAGTCTCAGTTTCGATCAATACCGATGACTTGAATAGTGCTCCCAATTGAACAAACATCAATGTACGGCAACGATGAGGCCAAATGAAGTTGCATAGACAATATGTGAACTCTTTGCATCTCGTTGTGATTAGCCATTTATCAAATTGATTTTCTTGTGAGGGCCATTGCACACTAGCGAACGTGTCTAGTCTTGTTTGACTAAAGTATCGATGCCTTATGTGATTAGCTTACTTTGAACCATGCATGAATAAACCTAGAATTCACCCCGTTAGTCTGATTGATTTAGAAAGGTGTACTTTTGAGATGATTTTAGGCGACTTTTGAAGAGTGTGAACCAATTTAACATATACCTCTTTTTGTGGCCTACCCGTGAGTGTGTTAAACTCTTTTGAACACCCTTTGAGCCTTACCTATCTTTGGAAGAACCTTGATGAACCCTAGACCTTACTTGAACCACTACCTATGTTGGGGGTGTGTTGAAAGGGAAAAAGAGAAGTCAAGAAGTGTAAGAAAAGTCCCCATTAACCCATGGTATTGCATAAATATGGAACCTCTTCAATTCAATTCAATATATATATATATATTTATATATATATATATGAAATGTGGAATAAAGTACGAAGGGAATCAAGTTTCAAGAAATCCATGGAGGAGAATAAAACAAAAAAGGGTGACTTAGAAGCACTAGAAAAAGAACTGATAAAGGAAAAGAAGGGAATGCCTTGAGAATGCCACAGCTCACGAGGAAAAAGTTATTGAGCCTAAATGACCATACCTTTGCACTCAGCCCCATTACAAGCCTTAGAAAGACCTTTTTTATCTTGAGTAAGCCGAATCGAAAGTCAATTGGAAAATAAGGGCTAACCTATAGGTGAAAACATGCATTTTGTTCCTCTTTTTGAGTGTGAGTGTTGTTTTTGA